TCAGCTACTTGGGAGACTGAAGCAGGAGAATTGCTTGAATGTGGGAGATGGAGGCTGCAGTGAGCCAACATGGCATCATTGCGCTCCAGCCTGGGTGACAGAGGGCGATCCCATCCAAAAATAAAAAAGTGCTTCATGCTGATTTGTTTAGCAAATGAATCAACGGTCAAATATGTTCTTGTGCTTGTATAGTGCTATAACCCAGAGGCAGTAAAGCCTGGTAATTAAGGCACAAAATCTAGAATCAGACTTGTTTTTTAAAATCATTTACTAACTAGTGTAACCATGGGCAATTTAAACTCCTCAAGTCTGTGTTTCTTCATCTATAAATGGTAACATTTACCTCATTAACTTCATAGTGTCAATGAGAGGATTAAATAAACTATTTATACATATATATTTTGTGTGCTTGCGTGTGTGTATGTGTGTAGATGGAGTCTCTCTATCGCCCAGGCTGAAGTGCTGTGGCATGATCAGCTCACTGCAACCTCTGCCTCCCGAGTTCTTTTATACTGTTTTTACTGCACCTTTTCTGTGTATAGATACATAATTACCATTGTGTCACCATTGTCTACAGTATTTGGAACAGTAACATGTTGCATAGGTTTGTGGCCTATGAGCTCTAGGCTATATATCATACAATCTAGTTATGTAGTAGGTCATACATCTAAGTTTCTGTAAGTATACCCTATGATGTTCCCACAGTAAGAAAATTGCCTGGTACTTTTCTCAGAAGGTATTCCTGTTGCTAAGCGACATAAGATTGTAGTTGGAATCATAGAAGTGAGCCTTCTAAGGCTCAGTAAGTGAACCTTTTAACTAAGTCAAAGATTGGCTTCTTTCACTTAGTAATATGTGTTTAAATTTCCATCATAGCTTGATATCTCATTTTTTTGTTTTTTTAAATTGTGGTAAAATTGTACATAACATTTAGTAATCTATTTTTGTGTGTACACTTCAGTAGTGTTAAGCACATTCACACTGTTGTGCAATCTCTAGAACGCTTTCATTTTGTAAAACTCAAATTCCAGGCCCATTGAACAGCTCCCCATTCCCCTCTTCCTCCAGTCCCTGGCAAACATCTTTCTATTTTCTGTCTCTATCAGTTTGACTACTGTAGGTACCATACAGTACTCTTCTTTTTCTGACAGGCTTATTTCACTTACAATAATATCCTCAAGTTTCATCCATGTTGTAGCTTGTGTCAAAAGTCCCTTCTCTTTTGAGGTGAAATAATAATCTATTCTATAGGCTGGGCGCAGTGGCTCACGCCTGTAATCCCAGCACTTTGGGAGGCCGAGGCAGGCATATCACCTGAGATCAAGAGTTCGAAACCAACCTGACCAACATGGAGAAACCCCGTCTCTACTAAAAATACAAAAATTGGCCAGGTGTGGTGGCACATGCCTGTAATCCCAGCTACTTGGGAGGTTGAGGCAGGAGAATCGCTTGAACCCAAGAGGCCGAGGTTGTGGTGAGCCAAGATCACATCATTGTACTCCAGCCTGGGCAACAAGAGTAAGACTCCGTCTCAAAAAAAAAAAAAAAAAAATCCATTGTATGTAGGTACCATATTTTATTCATTAATCTATCAATGAACATTTGTGTTGCTTCTGCCTTTTGGCTAAGCATGGGTAAACAAATATCTCTTTGAGAGCCTTTTTTTTTTTTTTTTGAGATGAAGTCTAGCTCTATCACCCAGGCTAGAGTGCAGTGGCATGATCTCGGCTCACTGAAATCTCCACCTCCCAGGTTCAAGTGAGTCTCCTGCCTCAGCCTCCCAAGTAGCTGATTACAAACACCCACAACCACATCCAGCTAATTTCTGCATTTTTAGTGGAGGCAGGGTTTCACTGTGTTGGCCAGGCTGGTCTGGAACTCCTGAACTTGTGATCTGCCTGCCTCGGCCTCCCAAAGTGCTGGGATTACAGGTGTTCACCACTATAGCTGGCTAATTTTTGTATTTTGTTTTTTTTTTTGAGATGGAGTTTCACTCTTGTTGCCCAGGCTGGAGTACAATGGCATAATCTCGGCTCACCTCAACCTCTGCCTCCTGGGTTCAAGTGATTCTCTTGCCCCAGCCTCCCAAGTAGCTGGGATTACAGGCATGTGCCACCATGCCCAGCTAATTTTTTGTATTTTTGGTAGAGATGGGGTTTCTCCATATTGGTAAGGTTGGTCTTGAACTCCCAACCTTAGGTGATCCGCCCACCTTGGCTTCCCAAAGTGCTGAGATTACAGGCATGAGACACCATGCTCAGCCAATTTTTGTGTTTTTAGTAGAGACAGTGTTTCATCATGTTGGCCAGGCTGGTTTCACATTCTACTCCATTTTTCCCAGTTATATTTAAAAATATTTCAGATATATGTAAATTAACAGGAAAAGAAGTTCAACTTTAGGAAGATAATAACTTAATGTTGTTTTAGCTTTCAATAATTAAGATAACATCTAAAAATCACAAAAAATGGTACTTTAAAAAATTTTTGAAATGAAACTATTTTTTCATTTCCCTGACTCCAACTTTGTATGGAAAATGCGTGTAGAAGTATGAGCCACCACATCTGCCCTACTACCCTGCCCCTGTCCCCACTCTATCCTACAAAAGATCAGATAAAGCACAAAAATGTTATAAAACAAAGTTTATTATGCAATACTTTGTCATAATGGATTGCTTCTCTTTGGTAAAAATAAACTTTATAAACATTTTAATAACCAGAGATTAGATACAAAAACTAAGCGTTTGTAAGTTGTTTTTAATATGAGCAAAGACTGGCAACGGAGAAGTGGCTCACTTGTGACTGGTCATCTATTGGCAGTTATAACTCAAACTGGGACAATTTTTACACGACATCAGAAAAAAGAATAAGAAAACAGTTTGATAACAAATTTGTTGAATCAGAAAGCATTCTTACACTTTCATTTAAAAATAAATAATAGTTACAATGAATTGGCAATTATGTTTTTATACACTATATGATGGCAACATAATACTTTAAGCACTTAGTTTAATAAGAAATGTACAACAATTTAAAAAATAAGTTTTGACAATGGCACTGGCAGTTAGATGCAAAGAATATGCTTTAAGAAAAAAAAATGGCAGGTATAATATTAAAATACTCCAATTTGCCTTTCAATAAATATTTTTACTACATCATTAACATATTGAAGTAAACTTGGTTTAAATCAAAGCTTACACATTTCAAACTTAAAAAAAACCTATAACATATATGTAAACCAGAAAGCCTCAAAGTTTCTTAAATAAATGCTATGGCGTTCACAAAAGGGTGTTAAGGTGTTGTAGTATTTAAGACAATGGTCTTTACAGCTTTGTGAAGTATTCACATCTTTTGCTTAAATTGCTGGGAAAGGCCTCCTGGTCTACCAAGACACATACATTCCCTCTTTAACACATTCTCTAGTTTGACTTTGTGCTAAAGTATATTGAAGTGAACATCTAGTATGAACTCTTTACATAATGCCTCAGAAAGTAGCAAAAGAAAAAATATATATACCTAACTATACTATATACAAAGGAATTCAAGTTAAAAGAAGTCATGCTGGCTATGAGGACAGGAAAGGCTTGAAGATGGAAAAAGGGAGGTGATCCACCTTTTCCATGAATTCAGGTAATCTGTTTTTCTTTCTCTGAATTTGAAAAGTAAAATAATAACTGATTTAGTAATATATTGCACAAAAAACCTTCAAAAATATATATTCAAGAAACACTGATTCTATTTGGGATGTGAAAGATGAACAATTGTGCTGAATCAAAGCTTTTTACTAGGGATCTACTGGAATCAGTTGCAACAAAACTTGTATTGTTTTGATGAAGGGCAAATTATATGTTAGCTTAAATCACCGTTTTAGGATATGTTGGAAAACATGTGAACTTCCTTGGAGTTTCCAAGCTGTTTTTATTAAAGGAAAATTTGCATATTATTGGGAATACAATTTCCAGTCCATAGAACTTGGAATGACTCTACTTAATTGTGTGGTTATTAGCCATGTTTCTCAAAACACCTGAGGAATAAGCATAATCCCAATGGAAGGAGTAATTGGAGGACCATAATTTAAAAGGCTCTCCCCCTTGAAAACAACTGACTTGCTAAATTAGCAAGTGGAAGGTGATGCACTAAATTATGTTTATGAAACTGTAAAATATTGTGTAACTTCTCCCTGTTAGCTTTCAGTGCACAAATGTTTATCATCCTTGCTAGTGATGAATATAACTTAAACATTTAAATTTGTGGGAAGAGTGCATAAAAAGGAAGAGAAAATTCAAAAGATGTAAAGAATTACTGTTACATACATCAAGACAAAATAACTTTGAAGATCCCTACTAGAGCCTGAACTAACTCTGCTTCTCTTAGATCACTTTCCTTTACTTCTAAAGAGTAATTATCTAATGGATAGAAACCAAGTGGCACATTTGTGATATAGAATTTCAGAACAAAATAAACTGGTACCAGATCACTGAAACACTGTTCCTAAAGTCTATGCAGAAGACTATGGTAAATAACTTAAAAATAGTTTTTAAAATGATATGTGTAATCTTTTTATAATTTATACTGTGGTTAAAGCATTTTTGGTTTTTTGGTGTTTTATTCACTGTCTATAATAAAAGTTAACTCGGTTTAGTCATTTTCTGTAGATGTGACCTATATAAAGAAAAAACCCAAATACCTTAGCCTGTATGCTATTTTTCATTAACAAGTTTAAAAATTACTGTATTTTGACAGCACCAATTCATTAATGTGGCTATCCAGGTTAAATTAAATTTAACATGGAAACAGAACAGAGAACGTTAATACTGTTAGCCTGACTTCAAGTCTTGTCAATTGAAAAAAAAGTTTTTAAAATCATGACAGTTTTGCTGAAATAAAAGTTAAAATATTTGTCTCTTAAAAAAATGCTTTATAATCATAGACACAGCTAAAAGCATCAAGTCAACATTGTTACCTTGACTGTGCATGTTGTGTATGTATGTGTACATATATACATAATCTATCAGAATAATGAAAACAAGATCATTGTCTATGACTTAGGATGCAGCATAAGACTGAACTTTTGAAAAGGTGCTTCCACCATTGTAAAAAAAGAAAAAAAAATACAATGAATAAGTTTAGTTTAGCATCCTGTTTCCAAATAATCTAATCAAACTATATAAATGATACTATGAAAAACTGTCTCATATAAGCAGACTGTTCAAATAGTTAAGATATTTAGTCAAAGCATTTTTGAAATAGTACCAGAAAATCTTTTCATCATGGATCAATGGAACTAAAGGTTATTACACTGTGTCCTCAAAAGGGTGTATTGTATAAGATCAATTTTAGATGAATTTTGAAATTCATCAAAGTATTTTGCCTGTAAAATTGCACTAAATCTGTTAACATTTAATTTGGTATACTTATGAATTTAATCATACAAAGCTTGGACAGAAGTTTTTTCCTAAATGACCTACTTATGATGACATATGTAATCAGTACTCAAAATGTTTCATTACACTCCATTCCTGTTACAAGATTCTCAGAATGCAGTACATGTGGCAGGCAAATGAAAGATTCTCTTATTACAAGTGTGTCAAAATGGGTGTACTCCATAACATATTTTATTGGCTATCTCCTCTCACTGGATAACTTACACTCAACAAAGGCAGCTAGTGGCTAAAACTTAATGTTTGCAAAGCAACTTGGGAGAGAAATAAAGGCCCCAATAAATGCTATGCAGTATCTGTGAAGTAAAAACACTTCAAATCTACCATCATAATAGGAATTGGGAGTGTTCTTAGATGAAATGATACCACAAAATTCCCCTTTCTAAATCTTAGAACCCTTTTTGTATTCTCTACCTATGTAACCAAAAGAAACTTTCTAAACATCAGGATGTTTTTTAATTTATGTTTGACTTTGCTCACACCAAACAAAAAAATAATTAAAAACAAAATAAGACAAAGTTAAAAAAAATCAATCTTATCCTACCAGACTATGTGTCAGGAGAGAAGTATATGAAAAAGACATCAGCAAAATTTTTAGCTGGATCAGTAACTATAGTTACAGATTGGAAAAGAAAATGAAAAAAATTGAGAGTCACCAAATCTTACATTCCAACACATTAACAGAGGGAAGGATTTTTGTCCTACAAGTTTAAGACAGAGGCTGGGGATATCCTTATATAAAAATTTCCAAATCTTGGAGACACTTATCACAAAAATTATGCTTTTAGGGCTTCACATCATATATTTCCGATCAGGCATGATCCTGACAGCAATTGTTTAATAAAAATTTTAAAAACCAAAAACCAAAAATGTTTTGAAAGAAATAAGTAATTAGTATCCCTTCCCTACCCTAAAACTAACGAAGTCCATTATGGCTTTGATATCCCTTGTAAAGAATTAAGTGAAAGAGTATTGCCACACTTTAAGTATTTCTATTTTTTCCGTTGTTTTTGATTTTGTGTCTTTGCAGTACTTATTAGGGAACTTAAACAGGTACGAATTCCAGCAAGGTGGAGCAGAGATCCAGCTGCCTCTTTGAGCTCCTCATCAATTTCCTGACATGTCTGTTTTCGCATCTTTTTGCCTGACTGCCCTTTTTCAGAGATTTTTGCACAAGGCTGTGATGCATAGCCACTGTCTCCAAGAGGATCATCTTCATAATCAATGTCTGTATCTTCTTCACTGTGAAATCCTTCACTGCCATCACTTCCCACATGGCTACTCTTTGGGATAAATTCATACACCTCATCCACAGAAGACAGGGAAGACATGCTAGACCTGGATGCGCAACGCTGTGCTGCCATGCTACTTGCACTGTAATTGTGATCTTCTTTTGGATCAATGCTGGTGGCTAAAGAGTCACTCTCTTGTAATCGTACAGCACTGGGATGATGAAACGCATTGCCATAACTCCTTTTTTTTTGCAATGCTGTTTTAATAGGAAGAGGCTTCTCACCTGTGGAAAATAAAACTTCCATCAATAGGTCAAATGTATTTGGTTGCAAAAACAGACCATTTTAAACTACTCTACTACTCTTGAGGAGTAACTATTTTAGATTAATGATGCTTTGTAGATTTTTTACTTTTTTACCCAGAACATATCATTCTGCAAGTATTAATTTGAAACACTTAAAAAACCATTTAACAATGTCTTGACTTTTCCATAGAACATCTATTTTGAATTGCTAACAAAGAATGCCTCAATATGAATGTACCACTGTTTAGCTAATCAATTCTGTGTTAATATTTAGGCTGTTTCCAATTTTTCATTAGTATAAATTATGCTGCAATACAAATCCTTCCGGATGCCTTTTCTTGAATATATGCAAGTAATTTTTAAAAAGAGATATGAAAAAATTCTAAGGGATACATACATTTTAAATTATAATTGGTATTCTCAAATTGCCCTCCAAAATGGCTGTACCAATTTACTCTCAAGAGTGTATAACAAAACTTATTCCCTACTTAACACTATTATCAATCACTTAAATTTTTTATAATTTTATGGACAAAAATGTTATCTCGATATTGTTTCATTTTGTGTTTCCCCAATTTCTAGAGAAGTTGCACCTCTTTTCACATGTGCATTGCCCACATACATTTCCTCTTCTAAGACTCACCTCATCATATATTTTGCTGACTTTTTGGTTGAACTGTTTTCTTATTTCTTACTTGTAGAATTCTTTTATGTATATACTTGATAGAAATCCTTTGTTATAGATGGAGAAAACATGTCTCTAGCATTTTATGTAAGCTTTTCTTAGATATACTTTGTTGTCAGAATGCTAATTTTTTTTTTTTTTTTTTTTTGAGACAGAGTCTCACTCTGTCACTCAAGCTGGAGTGCAGTGGCATGCTTATGGCTCACTGCAACCTCTGACTCCCAGGTTCAAGCAATTCTCCCACCTCAGTGGCCCGAGCAGCTGGGACTACAGGCATGCACCACCACATATGGCTAAGTTTTATATTTTTCGTAGAGATGGAGTTTTGCCATGTTGCCCAGGCTGGTCTGGAACTCCTGGTCTCAAGTGATCCACCTGCCTCAGCCTCTTTCCCAAAGTGCTAGGATTCCAGGTATGAGCCACCATGTCTGACCAGAAGGCTAAAATTTTGATGTTTTATTAAATTTACCCATTTTTTTCTTTAAGGATTTTGCATTTTGTATATTAAAGCTTTTCCTAGTCCAAGTTCACAAATATACTTTACTTACTATATTTTCTTGTTTATAGTTTTCATTTTTACATTTAGCTCTTCAAGCTTATTTTCTAAATATGTTATATTTTTCTTCATTTCTTGGTCAATGTAAAAAAAAATCATAGCATTAACTTCCATCTCTCAATTGCTCACATAAATTAATGAAAGTATAATAAAACAGAAACAGAGTTACTCAGATTAAGATACAATTTGGTTGGAAAGAAGTAATTTTGCCTGTAAGTTATTTTACAATTTAAGTTAAATTTGAAAAGGCACTAAAAATTTTTTTCAAAAAATGATTGCTTACATTCTAAAATTCCTTGTTCTATAGAAGTATTTAAAAGCATCATTGCAGCAGCAGCATCGATATCAGATTCTAAAAAGGGAAAAAATAACATATATTAATGTTCTTTATAAAAGAGGGGCTATTATAAGTACACTTGCATGCACCCAAAGATAACCAGTGTCAAAATTCTGGTGTATATTCTACTAAGAAGAAAGCATAAACATATATTAAACAAAAATGAGATATTATATATTATTCTGAAGTCTGATTTTGTTCACTTACAATCATGAAACAGTTCCGTGAACAGTATTGTATAAAAGAGATAGAGAGGTACCAGAAATAATAAAAGTTCTCTTCTTTATTCACAATGAAAATGAAAACTTGAACTGTATTTCAGTAAGGTTTCCCTTAAACAGACTAAATTAGCTAAGAATGTACAGCATTACTCCTTTATTTTTTTTGCATTTACCTTGAATACTACTATTACCTATGCATATCCGCAGTTATGAAGTACTATGTTAATTACATGCCAGTTTCAGGAGACAAAAATATGTAATTGGTCAATCTAGGTCATGTAAATCTATAAATGCTAAGTGAATAATTATGCAGAAACAAAAATAATTAGTAATGTTTTTAGTCATGATCATACACAAGCCTACAAGAACTTACAGATTTACAGAATATTCATGAAATCAAATAGACACTCCATTAAAAATGGGCTTTAAAGGATTGGTAAAATCAGCAGGTTCTACTACAGGTAAAGTTATTATATTCTCATATCTACTTATATACACTGCTGTAAGTTCTTCATCTTGGTGATATATTAGTCTGAATAACTAAAGAAAAGTAAAATGGCATAATCTCAATTAACCATTAATAATTAGAAAAGTTAGAAAATGTTTATAAATTTTAGCTTACAAAAACAAATATAAAGTAAGACTCAGATACAAAATTTCTAATCCGTATCTCAAAGCTGGAAATTTTTATTACCATAAAGATATCCTATTTACTTTCAATGTCTAATTTATAAGTGATTGCAGATAATAAAGCCAAGAAGATACTGCCTTGTTTTCTCTCCAACTAGACCATAAACACTCTTAAGGTAGGAAATGCTACTGTTATCGATAACATTAACAGGCTTAAGTAAATCAGATGTTGGCTGCTATGAAACAGCGCATAATACTATACCTCTTTTTCCCCAAGTAAAATGTGACTTTATGATCCATAGCTAACATCTTAGTGAATGGGGAAAAGCTGAAAGCGTTTCCTCTAAGAACTGAAACAAGAAAAGGATGCTCACTCTCACCACTCTTTGTCAACATAGTACTGGAAGCCCTAGATGGAGCAATTAGGTAAGACAAAGAAATAAAAGGCATTCATGTTGGAAGAGAGGAAGTCAAATGTCCCTGTTTGTAGACAACGGTATATTATATATAGAAAAAACTAAAGACTCTACCAAAAAACCCTTAGAACTGATAACTTCAGTAAAGTTGCAAGACACAAAATAAATACACAACAATCAGTAATATTCTCTATACACAAAACAGCAAACTAGCTGAAAAAAATCAAGATGGCAATCTCATTCACAATAGCTACAAAAAATAAAATTGAAATACCTAGAAAAAATTGAATACAAATAGACATTCTATACTCATGGATAGAAATAATTAATATTGTTAAAATGACAACACTACCCCCAAAGCAATTTATAAATTCAATGCAACTCCTATCAAAATACCAATGATATTCTTCACAGAAATATAAAAATAATTCTAAAAGTTGTATGGAACTATAAAAGACCCCAAATAGGCAAAATAATCTTGAGCAAAAAGAACAAAACTGGAGGCAAAATACTAACAGACCTCAAAATATACTACAAAGATGTAGTAGCCAAAAAAGCATGGTACTGGCATAAAAATAAGACATATAGACCAATGGAACAGAACAGAGAACCTAGACATTAATTCACGTATTTACAGCCAACTGATTTTTTTTTTTTAAATATATATTTTTGGAGGCAGAGTCTTGTTCTGTAGCCAATGCTGGAATTCAGTGGAGTTTTCTTGGCTCACTGCAACCTCCATCTCCTGGGTTCAAGCAATTCTTGTGCTCAGCCTCCCGAATAGCTAGGATTACATGGGTGTGCCACCACACCCAGCTAATTTTTATATTTTTAGTAGAGATGGAATTTCACCATGCTGGTCAGGCTGGTCTCAAACTCCTGGCTTCATGTGATCTGTCCACCTCAGCCTCCCAAAGTGCTGGGATTACATGAGCCACTGCACCTGCCCCAGCCAACTGATTTTTGACAACGGTGTGAAGAACACTAATTGGGGGAAAGACAGTTTCTTCAATAAATGGTACAAAGGAAATTAGATATATCTGTATGTAGAAGAATGAAACTGGACTCCCACCTCTCACCCTATACAAAAATCAGCTCAAAATAGATCAAAGACCTAAATGTAAGACCTGAAACAAAACTACCAGGAGAAAACAAAGATGAAACACTTCAGGACATTGGTCTGGGAAAAGATTTTATGAATGAGACCTCAATAGCATATGTAACAAAAGCAAAAATAAACAGAATTATATCAAACTAAAAAGCTTCTGCATAGCAAAGGAAACAATCAACAGTGAAATGACAAACTACAGAATGGGAGAAAATATATGCAAACTACTTATCTGACAGGGGATTAATATCTACAATATACAAGGAAGTAAAGCATCTCAACAGGGAAAAAACAAACAAACCAAAACCCTCTAATTTAAAAATGGACAAATGATCAGAACAGACATTTCTCCAAAGAAGATATACAAATGGCCAACAAATTTAAAAAAAGTTAAGAGGAAAGGAAAATAGAAAATGTTGGGGAAAGTGGTTACAATTTTAAATGTAGAGGTCAGGGAAACCCTCAGGAAGGCAGGCTACAGTTGGGCAAAGACCTCAGGGAGGGAAAGAATGATATTCGAGGGAAAGGATTTGAATCAATGATGTCCACATGCCACAGCCAAGAGGCTAGCAAAAATAATGACCTCTCCAATTCCTGTCTTTTAGGATAAAGCCTGAGACAATTTGTTTGAGTTCAGTATTCTAACATGTCTGAAGAAGAAAAGATGCAGCCAGTAGCCCATATTGTGTCTCTGTGTGAACTGGAAAAAAGGCAAATCTTCCTCCAGGTGAATGCTTCCCTGTTAAAGGCACACAGCTAGAAGAATGGAATGTGGGCTGAATTTCAGGCCCCACTCACTGCCTTAAGCCAGGTGTACTTGCAGAGGGAACAACTTGCTTGGCATTATGCAAAAGCTCCAACAGACAGATTATTTCCAAATGAATTTTTCTTTCTTTCTTTTTTTTTCTTTTTGAGATAAGGTCTCACTCTGTCACCCAGGCTGGAGTGTAGTGGCACAATCATGGCTCATTGTAGCCTCAAACTCTCAAGCTCAAAGGATCCTCCCACCTTAGCTTCCCAAGTATCTGGGACCACAGGCATGTACCACCGCACCTGGCTAATTTTTATTTTTATTTTTTGTAAAGAAAGGGTTTTACTATGTTGCCTGAGTTCAAGTGATCCTCCTGCCCCATGCTCCCAAAGTGCTGGGGTTACAGATGTGAGCCACTGTGCCCAGCCTAGTTTTTCTTTTACTAAAAAAGGATTTATTTTCTTTCCAATTTTATAAAAGAGGAAAGAGAGAATCTAGCAAGGAAATACATTATGAGGAACCAATTACAGGAAATTTGTCTTATAAATGAAGCACCTATAAAATCTTCTTACTAAAATAATTAGTTTATCTCTAACTTGACTTCTTTTTTGAGATGGAGTTTTGCTCTTGTCATATAAGCTGGAGTGCAATGGCATGATCTCAGCTCACTGCAACCTCTGTCTCCTGGGTTCAAGTTATTTTCCTGCCTCAGCCTCCAGAGTAGCTGGGATTACAGGCACCCACCACCACGCCCAGCTAATGTTTTGTATTTTTAGTAGAGATGGGGTTTCAACATGTTGATCAGGCTGGTCTTGAACTCCTGACCTAGGATTACAGGTGTGAGACACCATGCCTAGCCTAACTTGACTTCTTATAACAAATATGTTATAAGAACATATTTTTGAAACACAACACCTAAAACTGATAAGAACTACATGAACACCATTTCTGAATATTTTAAAGTGAAAAGAAAATTAAGTACTGTTTCGATAACAGTAAAATGGTAGGAAAAATACTCTTTAAATAGATCTATTTACCGTAGATAACTTACTATAGCCAAATTGATTTGAATTCTCCAACATGAAATTAACTTTGTGAAACCAAACATTTCTTTGCAAAAGGATTTTGACTATATCTTATTTGTTTAAAATTTATAAGCATGATTTCTGCAATGCCTTGTCAATTAACTCTGAAAAAACGTTTAACTTCAACATTAAAAATAAGCGATAGAGAAATGACCCAAAGCACCATCATAATCAAGAACACCCAATTATCAATGATTTGTCCAAGGTACAATCTTGAACTTCATGGAACAAAAGCAATAAAAATTATCTGGGTAGAACTTACAAACAGTTTTTAATTATAGTGCCAAATCTATTTTCGTTGATTGGCTATTTGTTTATTGACAGTGTCTCACTCTGTTATCCAGGCTGGAGTGCGGTGGTGCAATCATGACTCACTGCAACCGCCACCTCCCAGATTCAAGTGATCTGCCCACCTCAGTCTCTCCTGTAGCTGGAACCACAGGTGCACACCACCACGCCAGGCTAATTTTCATATTTTTTGTAGAGACGGGGTTTCACCATGTTGCCCAGGCTGGTCTTGAACTCCCGAGGGATCCATCCTGGCCTCCCAAAATGCTGGGATTACAGGCATGAACCACTGTGCTCAGCCAATTTTGCTATTAAATTTAAACTGAAGACTCATTTGTTTATTGTCACATTTGAAAACACTTCATAATGGTATTTTTTCATTGATAAAGTGCCTTATGCTATTTTAAAGGTGGCTCTGTTTTTAAAAACAGTAACACTATTAGCTATTTTATCTAACATACCCGGTTCATAAAGAACCAAAATTTGGTAGTTTCAAACATGCTACTGATTTCCTAT